AAGCTCACCCAGAAGGGGAAATAAAATATGTGTCAGTAGTGGTTCATTAGAGGGAATTCTGTGGGAGAGGGTATGAGGACAGGAACAGTTGTGGGGACCAGGTGTGGTGGGAGTGGGTTTGGAGGTGAAAGGGAGGAAAGAGAGAAAAGGAATTCATGTAGGGATATGTCAGAGACGAGCCAGACATTTGGCATGGGGCAGGCTCCTGGGAGGATATGCTAGTGATCTTGGAGAAGACCCCTGCCACAGGGAATAAGCAAACTGAAGTTGCCACTTCCTTAAGCCAGACACAATTTTCAGTGGAGGGAGGGGGGGACACTAACACACTCATAAAACCTTCCACCCAAAATTTTTCCAGTCTACAAGATATGCAGGGACAAAGATGGAGCAGAGATTGAGGGAATAACCAACCAACAATGGGACAAACTTTAGAACCACCTATGGAAGAGAGACAAGATCTGTCACTATTGATGATACTTGGTTATGCTTTCATGGCCACTCATCCAACAACTGAAGGCAATTGATGGATACCCACAGCCAAACATTAGGCAGAATTCGGGGACTCTTGGAAAAGTCAGAGGAAGGAATGAGTGAGCCAGATGGGGTTAAGTATACCAGAAGAAGATCTATAGGGCCACGTCACATGGACACACTGGGTGCTCACAGAGACTGAACCACCAGTCAAAAAGGATGCATGGTCTAGACGTAGGCTTCTTAACATATCGAGCAGGTGTGAAGCTTGGTCTTAATGTGGGTTGTCTCTTATTGAACTTTGCTGCCTTCCTTTGGCACCTTTGCTACTAACTTGGCTGCCTTGTACGTATTGAGACCTTGTATGGCCTCAATGGGAGAAGATGCATTTAATCCTGATACTGCATGGTGTGGTAGGATGGTATGGTAACTGGTGAAGGTCAGGAGTGGGTGCCTCCATTTCTTTGGAGAGAATAGGGGCAGGAAAAGAAGGGAATGTGCCAGAGGCTAGGAATGGGAGTAAATGAAAGGCAGGATGAGATTGGGTGTTAAAGTATTTAAATAAATAAATTAATGAAAACCAAAAGAAATGATGAATCAGGAGCTATATATGTTTAACATCATTTAAACATTGTCCACTGCAAGCTGAATAGACATATGTTTTCCCAGAAACATGTTGGCAACATATGTTTTCATGGGCCAATTATAATTACATAAAAATCATCAAATATGCAATATTTTGCTATAAAGTAAAGTTCGGAGGATTGTTGTGAAGCTTGGTGGCTATAGTTACTATGTACTTATAATTGATAATTAGCATATATAAATTATAAAACAATGTTTTCTCAGTCAGACATTTTCCTACAGACATAAATAGTTAAGGTATAGTTATTTTAATTTCTTACCACACTCCCTCCCTCTACACAGGGTTTTTTTTCTCTTTAATTATCAATATAGGTGTAAAGTTTATGCTATAGAAATTGTTGAAGTTTTTAATTACTTTGATTTTATTTACATATTTTTCACAGCTTTTATTCCATCCATGAGCAGGGATAAGTTGAAGTCAAGAGACCAGAAGGAAAATGCTGAGAGACAGTTTCATGAATTTTCATGTTAGGTATTTAAATAAGAAGATAGAATGATATAGACTCTCTGCACTGAAGTCTCAAACTGTAGGGTTCTTAGATACATGTTATATATTATTACACTCTTTTAAATGGCGTTCACAGATCCAGTGAATGAATAGGTGAACACTGTATGAAGTGAAGTACATCCAGACATTTGTGGAATGACTTAGGACATTGGCATGGCTTTGTAAGAACTACATGGTGACTATCTAAAAAAAATAAGCCAACAAGCAAACCATCAACACATACACATGTGCAGAAAACATTAGAAATGCAACAAATTAAAGATATTGCCAAACTGTGTTAAGTTTTTATGCATAATAGAACCCTGATTCCTAGTGATTCCGTATCCACAAGTGATTTTTACATTGTCCAACATGGGCCTGGAGAGATGATGGCTCAGTAATTAAGAGTCTTATCTGCTCTTTCAAACAACAGGAGTCCAATTCTAGACCACCATCTGGGAGCTCACAATCATCTATACAGGTTTCTGATGCCTTTGTCTGTCAGGCAATCATACATACAAATAGAATATAAATATACATAACAAACAGAAATAAATATACATTGACAAACTCCTAATTTCCTCTCACTCAGGAATGATGGAGGAACTCAAACTCTGAAGCCCAGGGCACCCTAGAGTGTTGCCCACCAATTGAGGTCAATGGACACACTTGAAACTCCACATACTCTCTTCACAAAGCCACACAACTGCTACTGATCAATATTACCATTTCAATTAATTGGGCCATTTTTTATCCCTTTGTGAAACTGGGACCTTTTTTTATATAAACACTATTTCTGCTAGGTGTATCTCTGCATGTGTATTATGTTGATTTGTGCATATAAAAATGGGGATCCACACAGGCCAGAAAAGAAGTTCCTATCACTTGAAGTCTGAGTTCAATTTGAGACCCACCTGATTATTAGCACTTAAACCAAACTTTGGTCCTCTGCAAAATCAATATGTGCTCTTAACCTGTGAGAAATCTCTCTCAATCTCTGCATTGTTTGTTTTAAGAATAAGAAAGCATGTTTATTGTGGAAAATCTCAGGTGAATTCACTGGTCCCAAGGATCAAGGCCAAGGAACTTGACATGAAGACAGAGAAACAGCTTATGGGGAAGACAGAAAGAAGAAGCTTGAGAGAAGTTTGGTTATTTTGCTTGTTTCTTCTTTTTCTTTTTTCTTCCTCTGTACCTTAGGCCAGCCTAGAGGTTCCTATGTGTTCCACCATCACTGAAAACTTTATCCACCTTCCGAAGATTGTGAATTGTGACATTTCTGGAAACAATGTATTCATTTTGATATCTCTCTAAAGGGCATTTGTTGCAGAGTCCTTAAATTTAGATACTTTAATTAATTCAGACAACAAAAATGATATGTAAACAAAGAAATCTTGAGTGTTCTTTAACTCAAAATGTTCAATAAACACAGAGTTAAAATAAATTATTTTATTGATAGTTTACAAGCAAGAGTATACTTACTAGGCAGTGTCAGATTAACTTTCTTTTTCTTTTGTTTTGTTTTGTTTTTTTTGCAATTGAAGATTTAGAGGACAATTCTTTTGTAAAGTAAATGCTTTATCTAATAGAAGGTCCTGCTTATTATTGGACATCTTTATATACACTCTGGGTACTTCATAAAGTTTGGGAAACATTAGGAATAAGGCTCTAGAAACATGGGCCATAAAGAATGGATATAGAGGCTCCCAGTAGTCATCTCATTGAGGCATGACTTAAATACCAAGAGTTCAAAGCCAGAGTGGAAAGCCTATTTACTTTGAACTATATTGTCTTCTTCCCTTTAGCCATCTCTGACTCAGACCAAGGTGCCTTGTGGTCTGAATGTATTGGATATTAATTGTTTGTTTTGGGGCAGTGGGCGATGAGATGCAGCTGGATACCTGGTTGAGAAGGATTTGATCCCCAGAGACTATCAGGGATAGTAGGAGTTTGGCCTTTCTCTTGGGCCCTTGGCTCCTTTCACATAGCTACAGCTCCCCCAGAGAGGTCTGAGGCCATAGGTCACATAGGACAATGCCCCTACTAGCCCCTCTGCAGGTAGAGGGCGTGACTACAGGCCACAGAGCCCCCAAGACAGATCTCCATATTAATGAGATACCTGAACGACAGAGGGCATAGCCAATTGAGCATTCCTTCCCAGACCCTCCTCTTTGCAAAGGTATTTAACCTCAGGCCTGCCCTAAGAATACCAGAGTATAGCTTGATCCATTTTCCACCAAGAAGTTAAATATTTTAATACCATAGTCTATGTCCATGGACTATTTCTCTTTTGGGGGCCTGCTGTGGGGAAATATGGAGAAGGTCTTCAACTAATGAAATGCCATCTAATATCCTGCCACCAACCTCTTTATGTTCCAGCCATGGAAAGCCAGCCAATCGAGTTGCTGACCAAGAGTCTCATCCCTGTAGAACACAGCCAGTGCTTCTCTCCATACCATTTTTGGCTGTGGGTTGATCTAGCCTGTATGCACCATCTCAACCCTTCCATGACCTTTCAATGACACCTGAGAGCCCAAGGACCTGAGAACCAGTAGGTTCCTGGCCCCTTTTTGGCCCAGGGACCCATAACTCAAGAGTTCCAGCCCCCAAGAAATCTCAGACTGTGTTCTTCCAACCCGGAGTGGAGTCCAGTGGCTTCTTACAACCCAACACCGACCAACCACAGGCATGAAGTGATCACAGTCAATTTTCCACACCTCTGCCTCTCTGAGCTGTGGCCCTATCCCCTTACAGTGGCAGATACAGGACCCAAAATTCAGCACAACAGGACACATACCAGCACATGATACAATCCAACAGTCTGTGATCCATTTAATCCACCTTCACAGGAGGTATGTCCTTGTTGCTCACTTCAGTGCAAATGTTTTGTGCACATAACTAGTCAGCCACAAAGAGGGTTGTACATGTAGCCCAGACAAAAGCAAGAGAAAGAAGTGTCAAGAAAACTTTCACTTTATACATGAAAATTTCACCCAGACTTTTGCTTCACTCATGAAATACCAGTGTCTTTCTATTACTGAAACTATTGAAACTTCCTGACCTGAACCTGGTAGTGAGGTTGGTAACAGTCAAAGACCCCCAGAGAGAAAACATCCAGGCTTAGAAATACCCAACAAAGCATGTGGTTTGTCAGTCTGTGCTGAAGGCAGGTACAAATGCCAAACAGTTTTCTGACTCCACAAGGCCCCTGTTCCCACAGTCCATCCAACTGTTCCCCTTGTCAAGCTCAGCCTCCAAGATTCCAGTTGCTTTACATTATTTTGTTGGTTTCCAACCTTCTGAGCAGTGTCAGAAGTCACAGGCTGTGAGGACCCTCAGATAACAGAGGTGTTCCAAACCTGCTGTTTATTCAAATCCAGAAGTCATATTTCCCAATTTACTCCCAGCAGCCACAAAGTCTAGATACCTGATCATAGACACAACGCTCATCACATGTATGGCAGATTAATGTAGCAAAAGAGATGTTCTTGGGCTGCCTTACTGCCCTGAGTGTATCCACGAGATCCTGACAAAGGTGGGGAAATCGTTCTTTGAAGAGATGAGTCAAGTCATCATAGCACTCCAGAGGGGCAGGGTATTTTTCCACCTTCATCTTGCTCCAGTTGACTGTGTGCTGAAAAAGGTCCTTCAGGATGGCCATGGAGAAGTCATTGTTGTAGAAGTTGACATATCTGAGCCGAGAGCATTGTCTGAGGGCAGGTAGGAGGACATTGACTTGGAAGTCCTCTATCCTACACCCCAGCAAATCCAGAGTCTTAAGAGTGTCTGCCACTTTCTCTAGGAGACCTCTCAGAGGCATAAGGTCAAAATCCTGTAAGACCACACCTCTCAAGTCCAGATGTTTTAGCTGAAACAGGCTCTGACAGCAAGGGAAGAAATCCAAGTCTGACTGTGAAATTTGGTATCGAGTGATGGAGAGAATCTTCAAGGGTGTCATCAGGGACCTAGGGATACAGGAGATCAAAGGGTTAGTTCTGGAAAATGGTTTTGTAGAGGATTGGCTGGGATGTACACAGTAGTAAGAGGAATCAGGATCCCCAAACTCAGTTTGACTAATTGATCAAGGACAACCTCTCTGATGCTTCTGTTGGAAACTGCCCAGAAAGCACACAGAAGAACTTCCACCCCAAGAAAGTCCTGACAGGATCTCGATAGTTGCTGTGGGCTCACTGAATTCTGCATTCTATCATTACCTCTGCAGTCATGCTTGCTCTCATGTACAGTCCAAGCTGTAACTCCTGTCCCATGCACTCAGCTCTACTTGGACAAAAACATTTCACCTATTGGAATTGTGGGAAAATAGAAGGCTCTTCACACAGATCTGTGCATATACCTCCTGTTCACACCATGATAGTGAGTCCCCCGACTCCTCACTACACACTCCCCTTCCTGTTCCCTTTCCATTTGATTGGGTGGGCAGGATTCCAGGAAGAATTATAACCCATCCTTACTAGATCTGACCTACTCTTCACCCCCAATCACTTCTTTACTTCATATGTGCACATTGGAGACACTGATTTAACTTGTAAAATTTCCCTTGTACAACTCCATATACATAGAAATAAGACATAACTTCCACAGTCTTATGAGTCTCTAAATGCTTGTTCCTAGTGACTGGTGGACATCATGCCCCCCAATCCTTAAGATAAACAAAACAGATATACTTAGGTAGCTGACCCAGCTCTCCATTTTTGCTTACCCTAGGACCTGATTTATCTTGTTTCTGAGAAAATGGGTGGGTTTCACAAAGAGTTGCTGTAGACAGTTGTAATGGGAAAACTGTGAAATAAAATTTTTGATACATTCAGCTTCTGTGACTCCTCTTTTAGTGGTAAATGGATAGATGATCTTGTGGAGGGGTGCCAGGAAGACTTTACAAAGATTTTT